GTTCCGAGCAAGAATTACGTATCCTTTCTTGAAGTGATGTGTTTGTTTCTCCTTCCAGGTTTCTCCGATGGCTCTCAAGTTCCAGAAAGGCCGCCAAAGCCGCTGCCACGGAGAATAAATTCTGAGCGGAAAGCAGGGAGCTGCCAGCCAGGCGGAGCCAGCAGTGGGACCAGTGCGTCACTGCAGCTCTCCAGTGAGATCGAGAACCTAATGAGCCAAGGCTATTCATATCAGGACATTCAGAAAGCACTGGTCATTGCACATAACAATATTGAAATGGCCAAGAATATTCTCCGGGAGTTTGTTTCCATTTCCTCCCCTGCGCATGTGGCCACATAGCACATTACCTCCATACCTGCAACTTCTGTGGACCAACTGCCTGGGCAGCTGTAGCCCAGCTACGCACCAAAGGGGAAGGGGGTTCCTTTAGAGACTTCGTGCTGAGGTCAGTCCTGCCTCTTAAGAGAATAAGTTATCAGGTTTTTGTGGTTCCAGATTTCAAATCAGTGGAATGAAATGGAGCAGAATGGTGTTTTATACAGTGTATGTTTTGGAGTCCTTTACCCCTACCTCTTGTTTGAGAGAACAGATTTATTTCCAGGGTGTTTGTAGAGAAAGGTATCGCAACAAGGGATCCCTATGCTGATGCCCTGGAGGCTGGGGGGAGTGTTTTGTGCTGTGAATTCTAAGTGAATGCTCTGAGAAACCAAGTCTTGAGGTCGGCGTGGTGTGTCCTGTGGTTCACGGTACTAGGTTTGGATCTGTTCGCTGCTGTGTGTCTGGCTCAGGCTTTTTAGGCCAGCTGGGAGGTCACTTTCTGCTGGGAATAAGTAGGAGACCTCGGAAGAATCTTTAGATTGCTTCCTGTTTGCCATGGCGTTTCCCTCTTGCCTGTAATAATAGCATTTATTGCTCATGATTCAAGTCCTCCCTTTTTGCCTAGAGATAGCGTGACGAGCTTCTGTCAGGCATTTTGATCTCAACAGGGCTGGGAGCTGGATTTCTCTCCTACGTGTCCTCTTGCCGGCAGCACTATCAGATCCCAGGCAGCTAGACATGCTGAAAAGGTTTGCATGTTTTTGAGGGGTGGGAGAGGGTGGGAAGAATTTGAGTGAGAGCAAAGAACTGGCTGCTTCTCCTTCTTTAGCCTTGAGCATTTTGAGCTTCGATGCTCAAACTTGATTGTGGCCCTGCTGGGCCTGAGCAGCCATCACTGGACGCTCCCACACGCTCTTTCTCTAGGAATGGTGCACCTGGTAAATATGATGTTTTATTTATCTTAATTGCATGGTGACTGTGGCAGAGTAGTGGCCTTCATGCACATTCCATCATGTCCTTCAGAGAGCTTTTGCAGGAGCCAGCTGTCTTTGTGTCTGGCTGTTTTGTGGAATTGGTAGGTGCAGCTGATGTATTTGTTGGTATCTTACCTGCTTTGCAGTATAAGAAGTGCAGCAGTTCTCTGCATGGCTATCAAAACAACATGGGGGCTCTTCTTTCCATTTCCATTACTCTAAGGTATTGCCAGAGCCTGTGTTAAAACAGATCTGGGAATCTTCTGTATTTGTAAAATGATCACACAGCTTTAAAAGTCAGTATTCAGCTGTTCCTTTGGAAAAACCTGACTTGCATACTCAGCTACTTAACTCTGTTCATATGTGCTTGACGTGTGAGAAGTGTGCGGTTCCTTCTGAGAACATTTAAATCAAGTAGGCATACACAGATCACAGCCTGATGGATGAACAAGTGCTCTGTGTACACTGAGAGGCTAATAGCCTTTCAAAGCATGGCTAGCATTATTTGCATCCCTAGAAGGGCAGCAGTAGTCACTAGGCAAAGGGTTGCAACTTGAAATACTGTTGGGGTGATTACTGGATGCAGATTAGCCTTTTAAAGAACCTCGTGGCGGGGCCCAGATCTCAGAGAAAAATGGCTTGCAATTGGCAGAGAGGACTGAACAGCTGTTGGCAAAGGGAACTAAGGATAAAATGCTTCTTATATGTAGAGTATAGGTTTCTCTCTAGATCTACAGCTTTATAAACTGATGCAGTGGGTTCCAGGCAGTTTAAAAGCATGAACTGTCTCTCTTTACTCCCCTCCATTCCATAGTAAAGACAATTTTCTTCCATACTGTAAGGAGATCTCCTGCAACACTTACAGGCTATCAGCACCGTTGCTATTTCGGGGTCAGGACAGAAGCCTGGAAATGCAGCACACTGGTGGGATTCATGTCAGTGGGCATGGTGCTTGCTGTGGTGCAGAGAGAGGTCAGGCGCAGCCAAGAGCAGAGTCTGGCCTGGGTGAGTTGCGAGCACTTCCCCAAGTGCTGAGCTGAGTTGCAGAGGTGATGTCAGTGCATGTGGTACTCGGGGAAGAAGAGCTGCGCTTTTTCCTTTGCCCACACATGCAACTGTCAGCAGCGTTGTGAACCAGTCCTGCTCCTTCTGTGTGAAGTGCTCTGCCAGTTATGCATAGCAGCCTTGGTCAGTGCCTCTGTGGGAGCTTCTAGAGAAACAAGCCCAACACTGCTGCTGCTGAGGAAGGAACATGGTGCAGCTCTGGTTGTTCTCTCTGTAGATCTGCATGTTACATTTGTAAGCAACTAGCCCTAGTAGGAGACTTACTTCCTGGCTTTGTACTGGAGAACCAGGTAAAAACCCTTTTGTGAGGGAGCACTACGGTTTTATATCCCTCTTTTTTGTATCCTCTCCAGTGCTGCCACTACGTCCCTGTTAGGTTTGGAGTCACTTTGTTCCCAACTTGCTGTGTAAACTCAGTGCAAGTGTGTTCAAGTGTGGTGTGTGACTCTTGCCACTGCCAAGGCTGCATAAGAGCCAAGTCCAGCCAGCTAGAAAGCCTTAATTCTTGTCTTGCACAGTGTGTGTGATCAGACTAGTGATGCCCTGTCCTGTACAAGCCATTTATTACAGGCTTGTTGTCATAATGTTAAATTAAATCATGCTTAGCAGAGCTGTTACAGGCCTGTCTTTGGGGTTTATGTGCTCAGAGATGTTCCTGTGAATATTGTTCCAGGTATTATAGATTAGAGAGAGCAATCTTTGTGGCATGTGTCACTAATTTTTCTGCATGTGTCCTTTCTGTGCACTGTTTGTGTCCCAAAATGATTAAAGAAACTTAAGTCTTGGCTTTTTGTCCTTAGACATGTTAGCATTTGCTTGTACCACTGAAGTGCAGCAGAGTCGTGACCATGTCTTATGGCTACACTCTGTGAAGTCAGTCCAGGCACTGTACAGTGTATTTTTCTTGTTCTTTCAGAAGGGTAAGCCTAAGATTGACTTCTCTTTCTTCCCTTCACCTTCTTGATCTTTATTCTTAAGAAGTTAACTTTATGACGCTACTTTAAAAAGAAATAAACCCCCCACACGTCTAGTGCCTTTCTTAAGGGAATGCTGCATCTCTAGGCTGGACCTGAGTATCCACCCCTCTCTGAAAATGAAGAGCCCAAAGTAGACAAGCTGTAAAGACACCTTTGAGCATGAGACTGCTTTGAAAGAGGTGATAAGAAGGGGCAAGAAAGATGGGCAGCTGTCACTTCAACTCTGACACTGTTTTGTAGCATTTCAGCTGTGGAGGTTTCTTACTTTACCTTTTACTAACAGTGACTCGTCTGGACTGGTGCTGTACTAAGCTTGGTGTAAAGACAGTAGAATTGTAGGACAGGATTGGTTTTGCTTGTAACGTGAGTTCTGCTCATACAAGATGCTGTTTTTCCCCCTGCCTGTGAACCATGGACACAAAGCAAGCAGAAAACAGTACAGTAAGAGTTGGGCACAAACCGTGTGGGACCAGCATGCGTTTCTGCACAGCGAGCAGCAGGTAGCTGTGGAAAGCAGGCAAGTATCGTCTGCTCTGAACAGGGTTTCTGGCTGACTTTCAGTGCCACTGTAGCTGAATGGGAATCGGAAATGAGACACATCCCACTAGGGCTGCGGTAGAACTTGTCTGCAGCACTGCCTCTGTGTATCTGCCTCTGTGAGTGCTGCAGCTTGAGGCCTGGAGGGTCTCTCTCTGCTGGGAACCAGCGGACTTGCTCTCACCATGAACAGCTTTTCTGCATGCCCTTCACTGAGCCCTTCTTTCGGGGGAGCCAGATAGGCTCGGAGTACAGCATGTTGCTTCCTGCACTAGGCTGATTACATTACTGTAGCTAATCCTGAGGCAGGGTCATTACTGTAAATGGTTTTTTCAGTTGAGCAAGAAAAAATGCAACTCCCAGGGCACTTTCTTAAAGGTGCCACTTTAAAAATTAGTGGGGAATAAGGACACTTGTTTTTAAAGTTCCTAATAGAAATGTTTTCTGGAATTCTCGGTGGGGGAGGAACAGTTGTTCTTCCTCTTGAATGACAAATACCAATTTGTATAATATCAGTGTTAAAAATGTTGAGATTTTCACAAAATATTTTAAAAAAGGTATAATAGTGTCATTAATATAAAACTATAATAGCAGTATTTAATCCTTTCAGATCTGTAAAGAATAAGGAAAAACAGAAGGTAAATATTCTTACAGAGAGTAGCTGAGCTTTAAGGTTCACTTGGTTTAAAGTCCTCATTTTGTTTGCAAATGCATTGTTAATGTTTAGAGGTTATACTAATGTTATTTATTAATTGTTTCCATTCTTGTATGCTGCCCACTAAGAGCTTCTTTGTTTGGGATTTCATTCACCTGTGTCAGTAAAAAGAAAACAAAACAAAGTTTTATTTTTAAATAAAATTTCCTTTGTTGTAGCATATTGTCTGTGTTGTGTCGGTTCTGTCCTGGAGTCCCGAGTCCTGCATAAAGAACATCCTGCTCAAGCCTGTCTCAGTCATCTCCTTCAGGATACCCAAGTATGACATGTTCACTCAGCCTCCTGGATCTCTTGCAGACAACAACTGACCTTGTAGCTATTTTAACCATTACCACAGTTACCTGTTAAATTCAAATTCATGTCATGGATACTAACAGAGGGCAGGAGAGATTTATACCAAGTTGATACTGATTAATTCTATTGATAGAGTTAATATATTCTAATAAAATCGATTAATAGAGTCTATAATCCATCAGGACTTATTCTTAGGAGTCTAAGAATGACATTAACAGATTTGTTACCTCCCCTGAGGAGAGTCTAAGAGAGTCCATGGAATTTGGTAGAGTCTAATGCAGTGTCTGCTGGTCTAGTAGATCCTGAAGCTTCAGTCCCATGCTGCTGGAGTCTGTTAGGCTCCATTTGCCTTGCACAGAGTCGGTCAGTACATCACTATAGACTCTTAAACACTTCTCTAATTATTGCATAGCATCTCTAAAACTCCATATATGACACAATTACAGACTAGGACTATATACGGAGTATAAAGGAGATACGATGAATCCAAAATATACCTAGATAAACATAGGTAATATTACACACTTCTAACACTGTGTGGTCTAGTGGATGCTATACAATCTGTTAGGCATTGTTGGAGCCCAGCATATCGTGCCGGAGGTGGTGAGAGGCTGGGGAGGCCTATGTGAGTATGGTACAGAGGACACTGACGGAGACTGCCAGCCTTCAATCATGTGTTGGAGCTGCTGGAGCCTGGCGAGCCCTGAGCATCCAGGGAGTGGCACGGCTTGGACTAAACACAAAAGTACCCCAAACCCTGAGAGTCCAATAAATGAAATAGTCAAGTGAGGACCAACTGGCCCAGCTGATCCCCTCTCGGGACATCTGGGGGGTAACTGAGAGTACTTGGGGCCAAACAAGGACACAAAAGCCCCCAAAACAAGTCACATTGGAGTCAAATGAAGACATGGGAGGTTACCTCAGGTCAAATGAAACCTCAAAATTGCACTGTGGGGGGTCAAATGAGGACACAGAGGGGTCACCTCAGGGTCACATGAGGTTAATTTGGGGTCAAAGGAGGTCATAGGGGTCAAATGAGGTCACAGGGGTTACTTCAGGTCAAATGGCACCACAAAACTTCTCCTGGGGTTACTTTAGGTCACAGAAAAGGTTACTTTAGGTCAAATTCACCTCTCAAAAGGTCAACTTCAGGTCATTTGAGGTCAAACGAGGTCACAGAGGGGTTGCTACAGGTCAAATGGGTCAAATGAGGACACAAAGGGGTCACTTTAGGTCAAATGAGGACATCGAGGGGTTACTTTAGGTCAAATGAACCTCTCAAAAGGTTAACTTGGGTCATACAATGTTAACTGGGCTCAAATAGGATATGGTGGTGAAAGGAGGGTGGGAGGGTTTAAAGACTAAGTCCTCTTTTTATTCATTGTATTAGGCTAGAATATTCCAGCTATCAGCTAAAAGCTACTGTCAATGCTAACCATCAGTAACAACAATTCCATTTTTTTAATTCATTCTGTTTAAAACCATGGCCTATTTGTAGTTATCAGCAGTGAGTAGCACAGGGTTTTTTTATAGATGCTAATAATAGAACTATGTATTAGTACCTGCAGTAGGGAATAACTACTTCAACCTATAAAGTATCTACTAGAATCTAAAAACAGTTATCTATTAATTGTAGTGGGTCCTAAATAGTATCTAGCTTATCCTAAAATTACTGATCAGAGTTTATAAGAATGTATTTGTGGCTTTATTAGTGTCTACAATAATAAGATTAGTGCTGGTAATAAGATTTTCTTGTATGATCTACCAGTATCTAATAATGCTGTTATTCATATTAGAGTTATTATTAGCATCTCTAATAGCTAGAAATACAATAGTCTAGTAGAATCTATAACAGAATCTACTTATACATAGCTACAGTAGTTATTAATCATATTAGAGTTATTAGCATCTCTAATAGCTAGAAATACAATAGTCTAGTAGAATCTATAACAGAATCTACTTATACATAGCTATAGTAGTTATTAATGCAATTACCTATCAGCATTACTGTAATTCCTGAATGGAATTTTAATAGCTACCCTTACAATTTTGTCTCATAAACTATGAGAATCCTTTAGCAGAATTATCTATTCTTACCTGTATTATGATTATTGCAACTATCTATCTATTAAAAGCTATTACTATCTAACAAATTAACTACCTGTTTGTATTTAGTATCTACAGTAGCTATTAATACAATTACAAATTAAAAAGTATTAGAATACATAAAAGAGAGCTATCTATTAGGATCTAGAGTAGCTAGTATATGAATAAACTATACTTTATTAGAGTTCCTTACAGGAAAAAACGCATTTGGTATCAACTAGTATCTATAGTGGGTATCAAACCAATTCTCTACTACAATGTTTTGTTATCTATTAGAATCTAGTACTAGACTTAGCTGTGAATAATTATCAATAGCTGTATTATCCATAAATGCAACTAATAGATTCTACCATTGAGATCTACTAAATTCTATTGACAGTATTCTCTTTCAGTATCTACCATCACTACTAAAAAAACTGAGCATTACAATCTAGTACTACAATTATCTATTAGAATACCTAGATTATCTATTAGAATATCTATAGAAGTATTAGTATTGGTAGTTAGTAGTGTCTGTATTAGATGTCAAAGCAAGTACCTGTTAGAATCTATAGGCTATCTATCTGTTACCAGGTACAGGGGATATACATGTCATCTGCTCTCTGTATCTCATGAGTCCTATTCTACTGCAGCCCCTGTTTGGTATCAGACTTGTCCACCGCCTGTAAATAGCATCACCCATTGCCAGTGAACACAATCCATTTTCTTGCCCCAGCCACAGTGCAAAGGCAGGTTAAGCCAACAGTGTTCTGTCACTCATGTGCATGGTGCCACCCATCCTTGGTAGCCTGCTCCCGGGGTAGGGAGCCTTCAAATTGAGCTGGGACAGGGCAGACATTCAGTCCTTACCGTTCCAGTGGGGCTGCTGCTAGCAGGAATAAACTCAGAACCTGGCTTTGAACTTGGTACTTTATTTTCACATATATAAAAAAAAACTTTGCAAGTATCAGACAAAACTTCTGGAAATGTACACACAGTCCAACAAAAATATATATAAACCAAAGCTTTTGCTTCGACAACACTTGCAGCTCACGAGTATAGCTCACCGCTTCGTTAGGGTGCTGGCTGCTGCATGGCTCCCCACTACCTGCACAGGACACGAGGTGTGCAGGAGGGGACATCGCTCCTGTCGCCCAGGGTCAGCCTCAGCCCCTTGCCCAAGGGCTGGGGGCAGACAGGCTTGTGGACAGCATAGCACTGAGAGTACACTGTTTAGGGGAAGGGGGCTGCAGGGGGCTGAGCTCTCTAGAAGAAGAAGGCAGGAGAGAGAGCCGTGTTTGCAGGCAGGGGACTGGGACGGGCCTCAGCAGCAGAAACTAAAGGCAGGCTGCTTGCCCATCTCCCCTCTCTACCAGTAAACTGCTGTAGCACCAGCCTGGCTGCTGGGGCCAGAGGTGCCACCGAAGCACAGAAATAAACCAGTTTAACCTGGGGCTGGTAACTGTTCAGCACAAAAAACACAAACCCTGAGACATCGCCAACTGGCTCTGGCCTAATATTCCTTAAGCTTTAAATTTGGGGGAGGGCTCTGGGACCCGCTGTTGCCAGCAGCTGTGCAGCCCCTCTAAAAGTAATCCAATTCCTGGGGAATGGGGAGAGGCTAATCTACAAACCAGAGAACCTAAGCCCTTGGTCTGGCATGTGCCTGAGAAATGGGTGGGTACCCATGACCTTGCTCTGCCAGGTCCTTGCCTCGCATAGGATCACAGCTACCCGTCGTGGAGCTCCCTCCCTGTGCAGCATCACAAAGACACGCTGGGCTAAACCGAGACAAGAACAGGTCAAAGGAAAAGCAAAGCACTAACGCCTCCCCAGCCGCTCGCCAACGCTGCTCTAACGCACCACTTCCATTCCTCGCTCATCTAACCTGCACAACGCTACATCTAAGGTGCCTGGGACATCCCAAAAGTAAAAGCACAATTCCACCAGCTTTGCTGAGCAAGTTTGGGGTAAAACACATCAAAACCTTCCCACACATGTACAGGAGAGATTTCCTGAAAACGCCTCAAATCCTTCCCTCAGGTAGCTTAAATGGAGTATTTCTTTCTAATATTGCTGTTGGCTTCTCTGTAGTAGTAAGCAAGTCCAGCTTTGCTGCTGCTAAGTCAACAACCTGCAAGCCCACAGTTGAGGTAACAGACGGGTGAGTCAGGGAGGTGTCCCCTGTGCGCTGGGGCTCAGCACCGGGACGCAGTCATTGTCTCTGGCCGTGCTCCCCAGGTACTGGAGCAGGGGTGGGACAAGGCAATCCAAGAGCAGGAAAGGTTTGAAGGAAGAAAGCACTTAGTAGATTCAATCCCTCTCTAGTTTCTCAGATCGATGTATTTCTCGCTCTTCAGTCCACCAAAACAGAAAGAAGAGGGGAAAAAAAGGCAATTAGAGGTAAACACAAAACCAGGTCCTTTACTGCAGGTGTTTGTGTGACAGACAGCAATGTGATGGGGTTGAGGCCAGCCCCAGTGAGAGTCAAGCACGCAGCCCAGGAGACTCATCTCACCCTGCACTGAGAGCTTTGGCTTGAAGATGCCAGAGCACAGCCCACTTCTGCAGCCTCTGACTCTTGGCCAGGGATGTTTAAGTAGTTCCTTCTCCCAGAGCTCCTTAGAGAGCCCTGCTCCTGCTTCAGGGAGCACAGAAGGAGGCAGAGCCAAGCAGGTTGGGCCAGGGGCTGGCACAGAGCAGAGCTGCACGTGCATGGGGAAGGGTTGAAAGCCATGGTGTTATCACCTCCCCTCCTTCCCACAGCCCCTCTGGAGTGCGAATGATGGATGATGGAGGCCCATGCAGGGTGGGGAGTACCGGGACAGAGAGGAGCTCACGGAGAGGAGGGAAGCGTGACCTCAGTGCCCTCCCCGTACACTCCTCACCTCTGCGCC